ATCTCAAGGGGCAAGTGTGTGATAACTAGAGAAATTTCATATCTCAACATTGCTAGAAAAATCAAACATACACATATTTCTCTAGCCATTACACACAAATTTAATTAAGGCTTTTAGCCTGAGAAAATTGACTAATCAGGAGTTGATGCTTTTATAAATTTCTCTTTAAAGACATCGAAATTTGGCCTAAGCTTTTAGACTGAGAAAATCAAATAAAATAAGATTTTGATGTTTTCAGAAATTTCTTTAAAATGGCAAGAGAAATTTCATTTTTACAAATTTCTTTGGCCATTACACAAAAATTTGACAAAGGGTTTTAGGCAAGCAAAATAAACTGATCAAGAGGTGATACTTTCACAAATTTATCCATAAAGATAGAGAAATTTGGCCTAGGATTTTAGCCAGGGAAAATCAACTAAAATAAGGTTTTGATACTTTTACAAATTTCTCTAAAATAGCAGATAAATTTCATTTTTACAAATTTCTCTGGCCATCGCACACAAATTTGACCAAGGTTTTTAGGCAAACAAAATCAACTGATCAAGAGGTGATACTTTGACAAATTTATCTATAAAGACAGAGAAATTTGGCCTAGGGCTTTAGCTAGGGAAAATCAACTAAAATAAGGTTTTGATGCTTTCACAAATTTTCACTAAAATGACAGAGAAATTTCATTTTTATAAATTTCTCTGACTACCACGCAGAAATGTGGCCCAGGTTTTGAGATAATCCATCACAATTATCACATTGTAATAAATAACCATTATTATGAAATCGAAACCCTAATATCACCAAGGCTGAATATAAGACGCAATCAATTGTAAATCTAGAGAAAAACTAGTTGAGGAACTAAAAAACTTACCAGAGTGAGGTGGTGAAGATAAAATCCTAACTCTGAACTGAGATGAAGATAACGATGAACTGAAATCAAAGATGAAAATGCATCAAAGAAATTATGAAGCTAGATGAAGAATGATAAAGATTTTTGTTGTCGACCGTGGTGAATGGCAGATATTTTCTCTATCAATTGTAAAGATGATGAACTCTATTACAAAGAAGATGAACTCGATCGTGCAAAGATCAGTTGTTAGAGAAAATGAAAACCATTTTTCTCTATTGATTGTAGAGAGAGAAGATAAACACATAGGTATTTTGGTCCAAAAACTAGAAACAATATATGCCTTTTTTTTTTTGGGACCTGAACTACTACAATTTTTTGGGGTGTCCTTTATCCTCTAAGATCATAATATTAGGAATTTTAAAAAAAATTCCCCAAATTAAAACCTGTAATTAACTTAACATATTGCGGAACATTTATTTCTATTTTGTGGTTGTTCTCTTAATTAGTACTTTTATATCTAAGAGGAGTAATATTTAGTTGATAGTTAATTTGTTTAGTTTTTTTTTTAATTTAAATTGAATTTGCTAAATTATAAAATAATAGTGTTATATTGTTATAATAACAATGTTATATTCTTCTCTTTCTTTTTTTTGTAATTAAATAAATTATAATAACACAATTACTTTTCATTTCTTACACAATTTTTGTGTGTGTGTGTGTGTGTGTGTGTGTGTGTGTGTGTGTCATTATATATAAAGGAACCTTATTTTCATGAATCACTTTGGGTCAAAAAAACTGGCCCTGACATAATTTATCTACGTTTAAATTTGCAAGAAAATTAGTCTAAGGTCCTTATCCCATTTTTAGTAATGGAAGAGATTCACAATATTATTTTTTGATGTCTAACGTCCCTCAACCTTGACACCCATATATCACAAAGAAATTTGATTCTCTCAAATCAAACCCGTCTCTCCCTCTTTTCCTCTCTGCTCTTCTCTCCCCAACGAACTCCACCTCCATCAGCGTCGTCGACAGCTCTTCCCTATGGAGAAGTGTTACCTGACTGTGAGTGAGGAAACCATAAGGCTATTGACAAAGCTAAAAGGAAGCTCAAAGGCCTTATCGCTAAGAAGAATTGTGCTCCGATTATGCTCCGTCTCATGTATACTCTTAATCTTCTATCAAATAATAATGATCCAACTATATATATGAGAATGAAAGTGTATATGTGATTTTGATGTGGATACAAATGGCACTTTGCTGGTACTTACGAAGTGTCGACGAAGATCGAAGGTCCATTCGGAACAATGAGGCACAAGCTTGAGCAAGGTCACGCGGCCAACAATGGTCTTGAGATCACCGTCAGGTTACCAGAGCCTATCAAGGAACAATTCCCGATCATCTCTTATGCTGACTTCTATTAGGTCTCTGACATAGACATACATATATTCGTCTTGATTTGTTTGTGACATAGATATACATATATTCGTCTTGCAATATATATCTTTATAAAGCCCTTTCTCAAATAAAACGAGAATAACTTAAATGATTTGAGGTCAGCAACGCACAATGTTGTTTTCCATGAATTGGCCAAGATGCTCTCATGGTGTGAAATCCACAACATTGGAACATTTTAACTCTTATTAGTTTCTAACATATGTTTGAACTACATTTGCTACATACATTAATTAAGACCATACAAAAACATAAGTAATCAAGATCTTTTTGGAAATTCTCTCATAAAAAAAATGAATTTATTTCTCAAATTAGTACCTCCATGTGAATTATCACACCTCAAAGTTTTGGCCTCAAAAGTCTAAGCATCATCGTGCATAGCCTCATAGCCTTAAGCTTTCATATAAAACCACTGACATTGACATGAAACAATTGAGCTCTTGAATTTTGGATTTGAAGTTTTAGTGTTCAAGGAGTTGTATATGTATTATGTATATAGACAAACACAAATCACAGTGAAGCTAGATGCTCTGTTTCTTGAACTCTTCATTACTGTTTCTTCAAATCTAGAGAAAATTCAGATTTGGAAATTCAGAAAAAATCTCTAAACTGGAATCTAGATAATTTCTCTGGTCTTCCCATAGACAAATGCAAATCACAATAAAGCCAGATGTTCTGTTTGTTGAACTCTTCATTACTATTTCTTGAAATCCAAAGAAAATCCAAAGAAATTCTCTGAAAATCTAGAGAAAATCCCTAGACTTGAATTTAGAGAATTTCTCTGGTCTTCCCATGAGCAAATACAAAACATAGTGAAGCCAAATGCTCTATTCCTTGAACTCTTCATTACTATTTCTTGAAATCCAAAGAAATTCTCTAGACTGGAATCCAGAGAATTTCTTTGAGAAATTCTTTTAATATATGTATATTTGTTGCTGTTGTTGCTTATTTAGGTGATCGATTTGTATATTGTACATTGTGATTGGGAAGGCAGAGAAATTTTCTGGTGTTTTTTGAACTTTTTATTATTGTTTCTTGAAATCTAGAGAAAATCCATAGAAAATACATAGCAAATCTTTGGAAATCTAGAGAATTTCTCTAGCCTTCCCATGGACAAATGCAAATCACAGTGAAACCAGATGCTCTGTTCTTTGAACTTTTCATTACTATTTCTTGAAATTCAGAGAAAATCTCTAGACTGGAATCTAGAGAATTTCTCTAGCCTTCCCAGAATTATGTATATTGGTTGGTGTTGTTACTTATTTAGGTAATCGATTTGTGTATTGCACATCGTGATTTTGAATGGAAAATTTTCTCTAGATGGGGACTTTCTCTAATGCTGTTGGTGCTACACTTTCTTATGATAAAGCTACAAAAGTCTTGTATGGCTTTGATGCTATATTGAATTTTTCTAGCTACAAAACTAACTTGATCACTAAAAGTACAACAATGTTGGGTAATTTGTGAGTAGTTTAGTGCCATGGATTTATATGAAGTTTGTTCAAAGTGAGTTATTGATTTTAGCAATAATTTTGATTTTTGACGAATCATTGTAACAAACAAGAGTTACAATACTAGTGCAGCACAATTTTTCTATGTGTTGAAATCGCTTTGTGTTGGCTTTTTGATTAATTTTCTCTGGTTGAGTTAAAATACAATTTTCTCTGGTTTGATCAAAACACGGAGAAAATTATAAGCAAACTAGAGAATTTGGAAAAGATGAGGAATGAAGTTGGAAAAGAAGAGAGAACTACCACTTAACACTGTGTGTAATTTTCTTTGGCATGTTTAATTTTCTTTGCCATGTGTAATTTTTCCTACCTTGTTTAATTTTCTTTGTGATGTTCAATTTTTTCTAGATTTCTCTAGTTTGAATTCAGAGAAATTTCAATTTTCTTTGGTTTGAACCTAAAGAAATTCTTTGGGAAGTTCAGAATTTCTTTGAGAATTGAAATTTTTCTAAATAGATGTTGAGGGATCTTAGACTTTATGAAAATATTGAATATTCTTTATACTATAAAATCTTAATACTAGATACCCCAAAAAAATCCTCTAAATTTTCTTTCATAGTACATCCCTCGTTGCTTTATTCAAGTATTAAGAGATAACATACAACTGGACAAAATCTTAATCCGAATAACTATTACGGGAGCAGCTTGTGTCCAATCTAAGATCGGACTAGATGGTGTTCTTGGGCCTGTGGAGACCCACCAGGGGTCCTATTTTGATAATCCGAACCGTACAATGTGTAGAACTTGTCGAGTACTATATGTATAAGAAATCACGTTGATCGAATATCGATAGCTATGTGATCAAAAAAATTTTTGTCAACCATTAATTTGTTCACCGTCTATTTTTTTTATACACAACTAATTTGATCACATAGTTATCGATATCTGCTCAACGTAATTTTTTACAAACATATAGCACTCGATAGGTTCTACACATTGAACAGTTCGAATTATCAAAATATGACCCATGATGGACCTCCACAAATCTAACAATACCATCCAATCCAATCCAATCTCGAACTGGACACAAGTTGAACTCAACTATTATTATGTATTTAAGAGGGTCCATAGTTTCCAAAACCACCAAACACCCCCTATTCCAGAAACCGCCAATAGATTTTATTTTTTAAAACTTTAAGCCCATCATTTTCATCTTTATCTTTTATCTTTATCTCTTATCATCTTTTATCTTCATAAATATGTGTCATAAATCCTCATTCTTCAATAGCACCGAACACCGTTCTCACAAAAAACAAAAACAATAGTATAAGTATATGTGAGTAAACATTTCCAAGAGTCCGATCAGTCCAAAAAAAATGGCTCGGTGTGAAGCAAAGGAGCGGAAGATATTGGTGGCCGTCGATGAAGGAGATGAGAGCATGTATGCCCTCTCATGGTGCCTCAACAACATCCTCGTCTCTCAAAATTCCAAAGATACCCTCATCCTTCTCTACGCCAAAGCAACTCCACCCGTCTACACGGCGTTAGACGGAACAGGTAATAATAATTAGGTTTCGTTTGGAATGTGGGTTGGGTTTTTATTTTTTTTGAATTTTTTATTATGTTAATTTGAGGTTAAAAAATTTTGTTTGGATAGATTTTTTTGAACATTTGTGGAAGAATACATAAAATAATTATAATTTAAATGAGATATTTTATCTTATTAAATTAAAAAATTTATTTTATCTTTGTGGCATTTTAACTACACCCCATCTCAACCCAACTTTCCAAACTTCCAAACACTACAAATGAAAAAGTTTGAGTTTAATTGTTTAAATTTATACAAAAAAATTCAACCGTTACTGACTAGTTATTTTCCCTTTATTTTTAATTTAAACCATATATTTATTTTTATTAATAAAATTTTCAAGAAAAATGTATTTTAATCGTTAAATTTATCCATATATTTAAATTCTGTTTAATGCCAAAAATATATTTTCTTAACATAGAGAATTTAGATTGAAAATAAACAAATATTAAGATTTAAATGGATGAAATTTAAAATTTATTTTGTTGTAACTGTGTAATTCTGAATTTCTGTTTTGTAATGTATAATTTGATTTTTGCGTCAATTCAATTACTATGGCATCTTTGTTTATCTACTCAATCTTAAATCAAATTTTAAATTTGAATAAAAATTATTTAAAAAAATTATTACTCTTTCGTTTCAACTTATATTAAATTTAAAATTTAGAACAATTACAAAAAATCCTAGCGTTTCAGCCCTTTAACAAAATAAATTATAGGTTTTTAATTTTGTCAATTTAAATTTTAATCTTTTAATTTGTTTTCAATGTAAATTATTTGTCTATTTTTATTAAGTATGTCTATTTTTATTAAGTAAGATTGACGGAAAAAGAGTATTTTAGTTATTAAATGTAGATATCCATAAAATGTCTAAAATACTATTTTTATTAAATTTACTGGCTAAAATAGTTATTTTTTTTATTGATTTTGCTTAACGAAAATAGACAAATAATTTAGATTGAAAATAAAAAAAAAAATATAGAGTTTAAATGGATAAAATTAAAACCTCAAAATTTATTTTGTTATAATGATAAAATTTTGAGTTTTGTTTTTGTAATTTTCCCTTAAATTTTTTTAGTAGTTTGTAGTTTTCAAAATTTTTACAACTTTTAAGTTTTTCTCAAAATTTTAAATAAATTAAGGTAACATGTTATTTTAGTAATTTTTTGACTTGGTTAAAACATGTGGTAAAAAAGCTTAAATGATTTTTTGATTTTTTACAAAAATATGTCTAAAAAATAAAGAAAAATTAGAATCTTTTACTTTTTAGTATAAATTCTGGACTTTTTGATTTTCTTAATAATTTTTTGACTTTTAAACTAAAATAAGCACATGCCATGTCAAACGAGGCCTAAATTTATCTATTTTAATTGTTTCATATCTAATAGCGTTTTCTGAACATATGTACCTTAACACAAATTGATGTAATTTTATTACAAATTTTTGTAATATTAATCATAAAATGTGTAATTTCATCACAAATTATCGTAACAAAAAATGTCATAACCAAATCACAAACTTTTGTTTCATAAACCGCAACATTTTAGATGTTTTATAATGCTCATTTATGGTAAAGTTAAGCATTTTTTGATTGATGTTCTAAAATTTTATGATAAAATTGTACCAATTTGTGATATGGTAATACATTCCTAACTTTTCCGTTTTGAAAAACTCCTTTTTATTTAAATTTTATTAAGGACATAAATTTTAATTTTTTTTAGTTTTTCGTGTCTATTTAATTCAAATAGAAATACTGTAATTAGACAAAAATTAAAGGTAAAGTAATTTATTGAAAATTAAATGGATTATTTTAAGTCAACCATTAATTTCTCAATCAACTATTTTGACATCATCAATTAGATTAAATTGTCACAATTTTAAAATTTAAAATGTAAACTTAATACAATTAAAATTAAGTAAATGTAAAATTTTTCATTTTTATTTTTATTCTTTCTTTAGAGTATCCACAATGCACAAGTTAAGCACATTGTTAGTGTCAAATGCTGCATTTTATGCTATGCAATGGAGCTGCTAACCTGCACCAGTGGCGTGGGTTAGTGTTAGACACTGAAGTGTATATTAAAACTGTTGTTATCATCTTAGTGAACGAGAGAGATAGGAGTGATTTGGAAAGTTTGTTAAAAATTGATTTTTTAACTTTTTTAATTTTTTTTTATGTGAAAAATAATGTGATTCAGAATAAGTTAAGGGTTGACTTTTAAATTATTATTATTGTTATGTTATTTTATTTTATTTTATTTTTTTTTAAGCTTGTTTCCAAATGTAATTCAATTAGTAATATTCATTAAGTAATTAGACGAAAATCAAAACTAAAATAGTTTATTGAAAATTAAATGTATTATTATTTTAAATCGAACGTTATTTCTCAATCAGCTATTTTGACATCATCAATTAGATTAAATTGACATAATATAAAAAATATAGAAAAATTAAATGTAAACTTAATGAAATTAGAATTAGGTAAATGTAAATTTGTCATTTTCATTTTCATTTTTCCTTTATGAGGCAACTGTTTTGGTGGCATTTTAGTAAATTGCAATTGGTTTTCAGGATACTTGTTCTCGGATGATATAGTAGCGACTATGGAGAAGTACAACAATGAGGCGGCTGAGTCTGTGATGGAGAAAGCCAATAAGCTTTGCAAGGAAGTACATACTCTTGATGTGAGTACTCTCTCTTTCTGAGAAAGCCAATAAGCTTTGCAAGGAAGTACATACTCTTGATGTGAGTACTCTCTCTTTCTTGTTTGTTTTAGGTCAAGTTTGGCATACTTGAAAAAAAATAAAAAGTCAAAAAGTCACTATACTATTTAAGTCACATCATCTTATTTAAGTCACATCACTTCTCTAACACATCACTTCAAACCCAATCCAAACCCAACACATGTTTTATAAAAAGTCAAAAAGTACACTTATTTAGATCATTCCAAACAACCCTTTAGTAATTGGAAAAAAGTTGAGATTTTTTTTTTTTACCTCACCATCCCTAATCTATTGAGGTTGGTTAATTTTTTATTTTTTTTTTCTCCTATCACTCGCTGACTCGCTGACATGTACTTATAAAGATTGTGAGAATTGAAAAAAAAAAATTTCTATCATTTCTGCTAATAATTTTGGTGTGTCGTGATGGTGAAGGGTAAAATATCTTGTTAAATTTTTATTTTTATTTTTTTTAATATTTTTTATGAATTGTGTGCGCGCTTGCATTGCAGTTTAAAGTGGAGATGAGAGTGGAGAGTGGAGATGCAAGGGATGTGATCTGTCAAGTGGCAGAGAAATTAGACGTCAACTTGGTGGTAATGGGAAGCCACGGCTATGGCCTCATCAAGAGGTGGGTCTACCATCACTTTTCAACATTTGACTAGCATGATTTGAGCCAATAATATTTTGCCTGTGTTTGGCAAGGGCTTTTTCAGTCTTTTTTGGTTATTTTAATCACAAAAAACAAAATAGACTATTTTAGCCATAACAAACAAAACATCACATCCAACCTATAATCATTATATTCTTCTCTCACAAAAAAAGTCAAAAAAGCCAAAAAGCCAAAAAGTTCTTCCCAAACCAAGCTTTTTAGCCCAGGCTAAAATAGTCAAAAAAGTCAAAAAGCCAAAAAGCCATCCCACTTCCTAAACGGAGGCTTTATGAGATTGGTAGTCTGAAATTTTTTATTTTAATATTTTTCCTTTTAGTAATTTTTTTACTTTTAAAATTTTTTAAATTTATTTAATTCAAATGTATTTAAAAAGTAAAATATTTGTAAAAAAAATTAAAAATTTACTAAATACAAATAAATTTACACAGGATCGACATATTATTTTTTGTATTTTTCATATTTAGTAAAGATTTTTGAGAATATTTTACTTTTTAAGTAGATCTAGATTAGGTTTACTAAAAAAATTTGATTAAATATAAATTTTTTAATAAAGATGAAAAAGCACTAGAAATTAAAAAATAATTTTAAAAACTAAACAGGGATTAGCTTTATAAACTTTTGTGCCCAATATTAAATTATTTATTAATAAAATTATGTGATTATATAAGTATTAAATTATTTTTCTTCTTCTTTTTTTATAAATAATTTACACATAAACTTACAAAATAAATGAAATAAATTATTAGGATGGATTTGCAGGGGATGCACAAGAAATTGGACTAGTCTAATTAATTTAAATAATATTAACATGTGATTATTGGATTTATTTAAAGAGTCTTATCAATTATATCTAGGGGTGAGCATGGTCCGGATTGAACCGGATTGGGGATCAATTGAGATAAAATCAGGACCAATTCGTTATCTATGGTTCCTAAAAAATTAGAATCAATCCAATCCGTTTAAATCATGGAACCAATCCGAACCAATCCATTTAAATACGGATTGGATCGGTTTAGGACTACGGATTCACATAATTAAATAACAAAAATATATTTATAATACTTTAATTTTATAAAAATATAAACATAACGCTATATTAGTTTCACAATAGTAACATATTTTTCTATAATAGCAACATACTGTTATAAAATTTAAACAACCATAAGAAAATTGGTTTCACTATAAGTATTTAAACCATTATAACTTAAAACTAAAAACCAACAAACAAGAGTAATAAAAGAAAATATTATACGGTTTTAGGTTTGAGTTTAGATTTTATATAGAATTAAGTGAAGATACTATGGGGGAGAATGTATAATAAAAATATAGACTATTTGTATACGGTTCGGATCGGTTTCAATCCGGAACCATGGGGTTCAATCTGGAACCAATCCATAAACTATGGATTTTTAATTCTCCAATCCGGAACCGAACTACGGATTCAAAAAATCAATCTAAACCTATCGAATTGGATTGAACTGGATCGAATTACGAATTTCACGGATCACTTGCTCCATCCTAATTATATCTATCATTGCATTATTGTTTACAAATTGAGGGTAATTGACTTCCTTTCTTATCATCTACTCAATTTATAACACATACGGCGTGAGGATCTCAAAATATTGATTTAAAAATGTTTAATTAACGTCTCTTTAAAATACATGTTAAATATGTTTAAAAATATTATACATTCTAAAAGTCAGATTATTTGGCATTTAAATTTAGTCACTAGCATTACTTTTTTAGAACAATAAAACAAAATAATTCACTAACTTTTTTTTTTTTTTTTATGATTTAAATGACAGGGCTTTTCTGGGAAGTGTGAGCAATCACTGTGCACAGAAATTACAGTGCCCTGTTCTAATTGTGAAAAGGCCCAAATCAGAGGCTCCAAGCAAATAATAATAATGACTTGAAATTCTACTTTTTTTGGTTAAGGTTGTTTTGCTTTGTTGCGGAAAACTTCATGAACAATGCTTTATATTTCTTTTTTTTTTTTCATTTTTTCTTTTTCTTCTTCTCCTTCTCTCTTCAATATTGTTGCTTAGAGCTTGTATTTAATGTAAAAAAAAATTTTAAGTGAACATGTTTGTTTAATCTTTTTCTCTTTGAATCTTAAGGGGTTGGCATAGGAAGTTTAAATGGGATCCCTTACAAGTGAGTGGTGAGATGGATCCTTTAAAATAAATCGAGATGGGATTTAAACACTTGATTATCAAAAAAAAATATCTTCTTTTGTTTTCTTTTGTCTTTTATTTGTCTATCATGCCTAGAAGTAAGACATCCACCACATAAAAGACATATTCAAAGTATAGATTTGATTATTCCAAAGGGAAATCGTTGGTGGACCTGTCTCGAATGGTTCAAATATGTATTCACTGGTCAACTAGTTGTACGATTGGCCGGACGATCGGGTGAAGTACTTGTCTACCGCGATTGTCACCTTATCGATTGCGATTATTAATTTTTTTATTGGACGATTGGCAAAACAAAATTCGAGCCATTTGAGGCAAGATTAAATTTGAAATATGTAAGCATTGCTCATCTCAAAACATTTCAAGTTCACATCCCTATAAGAATGCTCAGCAACAGCCACCGTATATATTATCTAATGTGCTGTTTGATGATGGCAGGTGTGAAGTTGGGTGGTGTCACACCTAATTTTTGAAAGGCATATATTATAATCTGAGAAGGTGATTTATGATCTGGAGTTGGGCCGAGATATCGACCGAGCAAGTTGAAAGCCCAGCAGTGCATTGGGCCGAGATGATCGATTGTTCGCCCAGAGAAGGGCTGCCAGAACTTGGGCCGGGCAGAGTTCGGGCTGTGTATGCCACCCCGGACCGGACAGAAACTGCTCGGCAAGGCAGTGCTCAGTCGGACTAGGATGCTCGGTCCGAGGATGGCCGAAGCCAGATAGGCCGAGTGACCGGCGCCCGGGAAGGCGCGGACATCCGAAGAAGTTGTCTGACCGGCAGAAAGGCCGACCCCAGGAGGCACCTCGGGCTAGGCTTTGCCGAGTTGCCGCCTAGTCCGGTCCTCCTCAGTCTTGGCCAGTGGAGGGACCTCGGGCTAGGCTTTGCCGAGATGCCGCCTAGCCCGGTCCTCCTCAGTCTTGGCCAGTGAAGTGCTAGTGTATAGAGCACGGCATGGCACAACAACGGATAGGGCAGCTCGGCTGCCGAGCTCCAGCTGTGATGACAGGCAGTTGAGGTTAGGTGATGAATGGCATGGTTTATGCTGACAGATGGGATAGCAGAGCCACGTGTCAGGAGATGACTGGGAGTGGATATGGGGCTCAGAAGGTATATAAGCATGTCTGCGCCCCCCATACGCAACACACGAACATATCTGTAAGGGCTTCTTACACCCGGTCTTATTTTCAAGTAGTAAGCTAGGCCGTCACCGGTGTGGCCCATTGTGTATTGCCTTAATATCTCGGCTAGGCCTAAGTTGGCGCCCAGCCTGGCTAACTTGATCGTCAGAGGGTTTTTCCGGCCACACACCGCCGGTAGCTCACCGTTACTTGCTCGCAGGTGATGGACATCGACGGAGCTCGGAAAAGGGTACGGGCTTGCCGGAATATTTGCTCCCCGTACATAATCAATAATCAATAATATTGTGGATATGGTTTAATCTCATACATTATAATGATTTTTTTTTTCGCCATTCTTGATTTTTTTTTTTAAAAAAATTATATGATATAGTGCAAATATGTTACTCTCAGGGCCATCTTTCGACACAATTCTAAAACACATGCTACCAACGTGAAATGCCAAAGTGAATTTCCCATACAATATTGCTGCCAAAGTGAATTTGTAGGAGTTGTTTGTAAACTTGTTTGATATAATTTTTGTTTATAATTTATTAAACTAAATAACTTATAAGTTGAAAGAAGTTGATTATTTAAAAGTCGAAGGGAGATTACTTTTTCTTAACTTTAAAATTTTTTATAATAATTTTTAACTTTTAATAATAACTAGGCCCATAGTCACCCAAAGTTGTCTGTCCTCTTTGGCACCGTTTAATTTTTGGATGTTCCGTTTACTGTTTTATTTTTAGGGAGACTTATTTATAAGTAATATTTCGGACACTTATGTTAT